CAGTTCCTTCTGATCTCCTGTAGACAGACTATACTGTCAGTTGTCTTCTACTTCTATTTCCCTATTCCTTCTCCTTTTCTGATTCTAAATCCATCCCCTCTCCATCCCAAGAGTCCAGGACGTGTTTGGGACACATTCATCTCTATTGCTCTCGTGCACTTTTCCCTGCATTCTTAAGCTCGAGCTGAATTCACCCCCTCAGGGGGAGAAAAAAATAAACGGAACTGGAGCGTTAGACAGGGATGCCCCGGGAAAACGGACCAACTGGGCCCTGACAGGCCTGGCTTCCCAAGGAAGCCTGCCAGGGGGGTTAAGCGCTTGGGCTCCGGTGCTTCTAGTGGAGTCAGTCTCATGGAAGTCTGAGGTGCATGCCAGGCCTGGTGTTGCGACTCCTGAGTCCGGGAAAACCAAGCAGGGAAACAGAACAGATTATGAGGTCAGTGTGGGCCTCCCTCCCCCAAAACTGCTGGCTGCTTCTGGCGATGCTCTTGCTTGAGGCTATGGGCGATGACCTATTTGACCCCGACTGGGGGTTTGACTCATATGAAATCACCGTTCCCAAAGAGCTAAACTTTAGGAAAGGGGAGCGGGATGTGGACAGTTTTTTGTCGTACCTCTTACAGATACAGGGCAAGGAGCATGTTGTTCATCTGTGGCCCAAGAAGTTTCTGTTGCCAAGACATCTGCCGGTTTTCTCCTTTTCTCAAGAGGGCAGTCTGATAGAGGATTACCCATACATACCAAAGGAATGCAATTACGTGGGCTCTGTGGAAGGCACTCGGGAATCTGGAGCTACCCTGAGTACATGCATGGGGGGTCTACGCGGCATCTTGAACATAAACTCCAGTTATTACCAAATCCAGCCCCTCAGGGCCTCTTCTAGTTTTGAACACGTTGTATATCTCCTAAGTGAGGAGGAATTTAGCAACCAGACCTGTGGTGTGGTTGATGAAGAAACAGATGGGCAAACCATCCAGGGAGAGGAAATGGCTAGGATAGCTACCTTCCATAAATCCTACAGGCACCAAAAGTACTTGGAATTACTCATGGTCTTTGATTCAACTAGATTTATGTTTTTAAAGGGCAATTATACTGAAGCCATTAATGATGCCATTCTTCTAGCTTCAATTATAGACACCTACTTTCTTGATGTCAGGATGAGGGTTGTTTTAAAAGCAATTGAAATTTGGTCGATGGGTGACCAAATATATACTCTCTATCCCTCTTTATCTGACGTGTTAGGTCAATTTGTACTGTACAAAAGAAGATCATTGCATTTTCGGCTTCCCTCAGACTGGGCACATTTATATATAGGAAGAAAATTTGATGATGCTTTTGCATGGTCCTGGGGAAGAACATGTGAAGAATACCATGCTGGATCAATAAACTCCTTACTAAGTGTAAATATTCTTAAACCTGCTACTTGGACTGCTCATGAATTGGGCCATGCTGTGGGAATGAATCACGATACAGAGCACTGTCAATGCCGAGGTCGGAAGAACTGCGTCATGGGTCCAGGATATACAGGGTTTAGCAATTGTAGTTATCATCAGTATTTTTTATTTGTATCTTATAAAATAGCACATTGTCTATCTGACATCCCAGAAAGTATTTATTTGGTTCCGAGATGTGGAAACAAAATTGTTGAAGGCAAAGAGGAATGTGACTGTGGTTCTGAAGAGGACTGCAAAAAAGACCTCTGCTGTGGACCCAACTGCAAATGGAAAGACGGTGTCAACTGTTCCACTGGGCTTTGTTGTCATAAATGCAACTTCCTCCCATCAGGGTATGTGTGTAGGCAGGAAGAAAATGAATGTGACCTTGCGGAGTACTGTGATGGGACCTCGGGTTCCTGTCCCAAGGATTCTTACAAGCAGGATGGAACTCCCTGCAGATCTGGAGGACTTTGTTACAGTAAGGGATGCAGATCCAGGGACATACAGTGCCAGAACATTTTTGGACCTACTGCCAAGGAGGGTCCCCCTCAATGTTACGATGCAGTTAATCTGATAGGAGATCAGTTTGGTAACTGTGGCATTGATCGGGCTCGATTTATAAGGTGTAATAGGGACAATACAGTCTGTGGCAGGCTCCAGTGTATAGATGTTAAAGACATCCCCAATTTGCCAGATCACACTTTTATAATAGCCACCTATCTGAATAGCGATAATCTCATATGTTGGGGCACAGGCTATCATTATGCCATGATAGCCCATAAGATACCTGACATAGGTAGGATTAATGATGGTTCCTTCTGTAACCCTACAGAAGTGTGTATGAACAAAACTTGTGTTGATTCTAGCATCCTGAAGTATGACTGTTTGCCTACCAAGTGCAAAGGCCGAGGTGTTTGCAATAATAAAAAGAACTGCCACTGCTTGTATGGCTGGAAACCCCCATTCTGTGAAAACGTAGGATTTGGTGGGAGCATTGACAGTGGACCCGCTGGACCTAGGGCAGAGGAAGAACCCTCATCATTTCCATTTGTGTATATTATGATATTGCGTGTTATTTTATTCATCATCTCAGTGATCATTGTGTATTTTAGGCAGTTGGTTAAAAAATGGTATAATTATCACTGGCGAAAACAATCTGAAACAATAGTCCGTTCAAAAATGTAACTAGGCACTCCTGTCATCTAATACATTTGCCTATTTAACAAGCTTATCATTTACTCACACGACTTTTCATTCTTTGCCCAGAGTGATTTCACACAATTTAAAATCAGCACAAAATAAATGCGGTTCTTGTTTGAAAACAAATCAGTGCATCTTCCCCCCTAGGGATTCATTTTCCTTTCAGTTTGGGATCAAGCGTTGGGTTACCTGAAAAGACTGCTTGCTAATGGCCTATCTGAATGCAGTCCATGTCAGTGGATGACTGGTGTTCAGAGGAAAGTTGTGTCTTAACATCCTGGCGAAGTAGGTTTATCTCTCCCCTGTGTATCTTTCAACTTCTTCAGTGCTACACCTGTGCACATGAACCTGCTGCCTGCACCTGAGCGAGCACCTGCTGCATGATACTTAGTGATAGCACATTTTATAAATGAAAAATACACGGTATAAGGGTTGATTCCTTCAGTGAGATTTTCTGTCATGTCTCTTCTGGTGCATATAGCTCTGACTATTGCTGTGTGGTTTCTGACTTTGTGTTTGAGGTGACCTCGATGAGTCCGCTATTCTGAGCTGTAATGACACTTGCATTCTGTACAGCCTGTAGAAGATGACAGCCCTTAGCAGTGTTGGAAGCATGGCTATTAACAAAATTTAATGTTTGCTGCATTTTAAAAAGATTTATTTACTTATTATGTATACAGTGTTCTGCCTGCATGTATACCTGCAGGTCAGAAGAGAGCATCACATCTCATTACAGATAATTGTGAGCTGCCATGTGGTTGCTGGGAATTCAACTCAGGACCTCTGGAAGAACAGCCAGTGCTCTTAACCTCTGAGACATTTCTCCAGCCCCCACTGCATGTTTTTTTGGGGGAGGTATTTTTTCTTTGTCGCCTTGACACAAGCTAAAGTCTTCTGTGAAGAAGAAAAGGGAGCTCAATTGGGAAAATGTCTCCATCAGATTGGCCTGTAGGCAAGTCTGTGGAGCAGTTCTTGATTCATAGTTGTTGTGGGAGGACCCAACCCACTGTGGGTGGTGCCACCAGTGGACAGGTGGTCCTGGGTGGCATAAAAAAGCAAACTAGCAAGCCATGAGGAGGAAACCAGAAAGCAGCACCCTCCATGGCATCTGCTTCAGCTCCTGCCTCCAGGTTCCTGTATAACTACACATTTCCCTCCTGCTTGACAGTTCCCAAATAACCATTCTGAGGCTTAAAATTAATTATAAACGTTTGACCAATGGCTCAGGCTTATTACTAGCTAGCTCTTGCATTTAAATTAACCCATTTCTATTAATCTGTGTATCACCAGATGGCCAGCAGTAAGCTGGTGCTCTGGCATGTTGCTCCTTGGGCAACTGCTGGCATCTTTCTCCCCCTCCTCATTGGAGTCCTCAATTTGATTGTTCCACCTAACTCTACCTTGCCTGGCTATTGGTCAAACAGCTTTTATTATTAACCAATGAGAACAAAACATATTCACAGCATACAGAAAGACATCCCACATCATTCCTACCTTGTTTGAGTTCCTGTCCTGACTTCCTTTCACAATGGACTGTAAAGTGTAAGGTGAAATAAACCCTTTCCTTCCCAAGTTGCTTTTGATCATGGTGTTTATCACAGCGCTAGAAAGCAAACTAGGATGATGTGTCTGCTTTCACTGGTAGGTCGTGGCCCTAGGTTTCTTGCACCCCTAAGTACAACTGAAAAAAGTGAAGAATGCCTTTTACCCCCAACATCTTTCAATGCTCTGCCTCTAAATCTCTCCCTGTGCACAGTGCTGCCATAGCAGATAAGAGGAAATGACTCCTTCCCAAAAGGAGTCATTGCCACTTCTATGTCCAGAGGAAGCTCATCCCTCCTCCATACTTGGGCCGTCCCAAGTTGTTGCCTCCTGTTCAAGTCTGGATCTTCCGGCTATTCCCATTAAGACACCTGACAACCTCATATACCATGTCCCAGTTTACTGTGCCTTAGCCACAGAGTTCTAATTAAAGGCAAAAGCATAGCAGACACAGTGAAGGTTCACTAGTCTAGTCTGTCTAGACTGCTTTGGGTTTGTATTCACTCAGAGAAAAAAAACTTGGGTTTTGTGATGATCATAATTCTAAACATTAAAGTTGGCTGGCCATGCAGTGTCCTAAAATATAAGGACACTGTGTCACAGCTGAGTATGATAATGAGTAACATTACTGAGAGCTCACTATGTACCAAGCAGCAGTCTAAAGACTTCCATGTGTTATTGTGTATACTGTTAAAAATGACTCTGCTACAGGTATTTTATTTTTAGAGTTTTAGATTTTATTTTATGTCTATGAGTGTTAGCTATATACTACATGCATGCTTTGGTACAGAGAAGAGGACATTGGATGCCCTGTTGCTGGGGTTATGCATAGTTATGCATCAAATCACCATGTGGATGCTGGGAACTGAACTAAGGTCCTCTGCAAAAGCAAAAACCCTTAACTGCCCAGTCACTTCTTAGCCCTGGTTCTTATTTTTCTATAGGAAATAAGTCACAGCAATGTCAAAAGACCTACACAGGCTTCTACAGTAATAAAAACATTACTTGAGGGGAAAACTTTGTATAATATCAAGTTAGAGACAATGACTTACTAAGAAATCTTAAAGTTGTTAGTATATTACCATTGTAACCATTTTGGTGGTAACTAGTACATTTCATTTTGTGCAGATGTTTTAAAGAACTCTTCCTTTTTTTGACACAGGGTCTCACTATGTCACCCCTCCCACCCCCCCCACATATAGTACAAATTCTAATATATTTTAATAATAAAAACCCCATGTCAGATATTAGGGGGGAAAGCTGAAAGATCAGAGAAGCAAAGCAGCCAACCACTAGAGAGTTCTCACCTCTACCAAAGCCCAGACCAAAAGGGCGATCCTGTCCTCAGACTGAATACTGTTCAGACTCTTGCCTCAGACTGACAGCCAGATTGACTACACTGAGCTCCTGTCTCCAACTCCTTAGTGCTCAGATAAAAGCATGTGATCCCAAGTGCTGGGATCAAAGGTGTGAGCTCTGTTTCTCTTTTAGACTGGATCAATCTCATGTAGCCCAGGGTGACCTTGAACTCACAGAGATCGGTTTGCCTCTGCCTCCCAAGTGCTGGGATTAAGAGTGTGCATCACCACCACCCAGACTCTATGGCTAACTAGTGAATTCACTAGTGTGAATGCTGGAATTAAAGGTGTGTGCCATCACTGCCTGGCCTTTATGGCTAACTAGTGTGGCTAGCTTTGCACTCTGATTTTCAGATAAGCTTCATCTATTAGATAATAAACAAAATACCACCACACCCACCCATCCCCCACAGGGAATCTTTATACACTTTATGTAGACCAGGCTGGTCTCAAACTCACAGCAATCTGCCTGCCTCAGTCTCTTGGCTGTTGGGATTAAAGGAGTGCCCAGACCCACCCAGCAAGACTCTCTTTATCTTTCAAAACTAATGTTTTAGATCCATTAAACCACACTCCATTCTTTATTCCCCATCTCCTCATAGTCTACTTTCTGTCTGTGTGAATTGGTAAACATAAATTCCCCCTAATTTTATATTCTTTTCTTTGATAATTCATTAAGGTCCTTAATTATGTAGTCCTGACTGGCCTGACCAGGCTGGTCTCAAATTCATAGAGATCCTTCTGCCTCTGTTTTCCATGTACTGGGATGTAGTGACATATTATGATTTATTAAAGCTTGCCTGCGGATTCAATTAGCAAAGTCAGCCACAAGCCATAGAAGCCAGGTACACATCTTTAATCCCAGCAGCCAGAAACTAGGAGATGGTGGTACACACCTTTAATCCTAGAACTCAGGATTAAGAGATAGACAGATCTCTGTGAGTCCAAGTCCACCAAGATCTACACAAGATTGATCCAGTCCTAAACAGAAACAGCTCACACAAAGATGATCTCAGCACCTGGGAACACACGGCCTTTAATCCCAGCACTAGAGAGGTATAAAAGATAGGAGCAGGGTCTTCAGTGGTCAATATCAGGGATTCATTCTCCAGCCACATTGAGGATAGGAAGACACTTGAGTTTAAAGCAAACTAGCAAGCCATGAGGAGGAAACCAGAAAGCAGCACCCTCCATGGCATCTGCTTCAGCTCCTGCCTCCAGGTTCCTGTATAACTACACATTTCCCTCCTGCTTGACAGTTCCCAAATAACCATTCTGAGGCTTAAAATTAATTATAAACGTTTGACCAATGGCTCAGGCTTATTACTAGCTAGCTCTTGCATTTAAATTAACCCATTTCTATTAATCTGTGTATCACCAGATGGCCAGCAGTAAGCTGGTGCTCTGGCATGTTGCTCCTTGGGCAACTGCTGGCATCTTTCTCCCCCTCCTCATTGGAGTCCTCAATTTGATTGTTCCACCTAACTCTACCTTGCCTGGCTATTGGTCAAACAGCTTTTATTATTAACCAATGAGAACAAAACATATTCACAGCATACAGAAAGACATCCCACATCATTCCTACCTTGTTTGAGTTCCTGTCCTGACTTCCTTTCACAATGGACTGTAAAGTGTAAGGTGAAATAAACCCTTTCCTTCCCAAGTTGCTTTTGATCATGGTGTTTATCACAGCGCTAGAAAGCAAACTAGGATGATGTGTCTGCTTTCACTGGTAGGTCGTGGCCCTAGGTTTCTTGCACCCCTAAGTACAACTGAAAAAAGTGAAGAATGCCTTTTACCCCCAACATCTTTCAATGCTCTGCCTCTAAATCTCTCCCTGTGCACAGTGCTGCCATAGCAGATAAGAGGAAATGACTCCTTCCCAAAAGGAGTCATTGCCACTTCTATGTCCAGAGGAAGCTCATCCCTCCTCCATACTTGGGCCGTCCCAAGTTGTTGCCTCCTGTTCAAGTCTGGATCTTCCGGCTATTCCCATTAAGACACCTGACAACCTCATATACCATGTCCCAGTTTACTGTGCCTTAGCCACAGAGTTCTAATTAAAGGCAAAAGCATAGCAGACACAGTGAAGGTTCACTAGTCTAGTCTGTCTAGACTGCTTTGGGTTTGTATTCACTCAGAGAAAAAAAACTTGGGTTTTGTGATGATCATAATTCTAAACATTAAAGTTGGCTGGCCATGCAGTGTCCTAAAATATAAGGACACTGTGTCACAGCTGAGTATGATAATGAGTAACATTACTGAGAGCTCACTATGTACCAAGCAGCAGTCT